CGCGGGCCGGCGGAGCCCTCCCCGGTGCCCGCCGCGGCGCCGCGACAAAAGGCCGGTCGTGGCCGGGGAGCTGGGGGGGGTCTGCCCGCGCGCTCGGCGGGCGCGGAGCGGCGAGGCGAGGCTTCCCCCGGGGCGGGCTGGGGCTTCCCCCGGCGGCTCCTTCTGCGCTTCCGCTCGGTGTCCCCGGCCCAGGTCAGCGCCTCCCTCCCGGTGCTCTCTGCAGACCTGTTCGTCCTCTCCAATAAAATGAGAAATGCCCCTTTCTTCGCCCCCCCTCCCCCGCCTTTTTTTCTTTTTTTTCTTTTTTTTTTTTTTTTTTTTTTTCCTTCTCGGGGATGAGAGGCAGGAGAACGTTTTCGCTCTAGGCTGCGTTCTCCGATAAACGTGCCTGCTGCTTTCTCCTGGATTCGAGCGGAGGTTTAGCCGAGGGTTCTGTACTCGCGTTCGGTTCCCTGGTTGCATGTGTGTTTGCTTTTTAAGACTCAGGTTTATGTGTTTGTCTAACGCCAGTTCGGATTTCGAAAGGGAAGACTGATTGTTCTGGTTCTTTTTACCGTAGGCAGTTTGGATTACAGAGGGAGAGGATCCTGGATGTTTGCAGCCTTTTGCTTCGGCTGGTAGGGAGGAAAAAAGGTGGAAACCGACCTGCAGCAGTTGCTTCTTGTGAAAGGGGAGAAATACCGGACACGGTTCTGGGATTATTTGTCCAAGTGCTTCGTCCTGAAAAGGCTTCTGAAACAATCAGTAGGCATCTGAGAAGTGAATTGGAAGTTTGAAGCCGCAAGCTTTTTCTTTGTGGCAGTGCCGAGCACCTCACCCTTGGACGCTTTTGTCCACATGGCATGGATACATGGCTAAACTTACCAAGTTCTGAATACTTCAGCTGCCAAAATAAAGTGCTTTCTTACTGTTAGATACTTCTTTCTTCTAGGCAACATTCCATCTGAGTCATAGACATAACCAGTTTTGTTAACTGGCTCCAGGTTAAATGCAGCCTGAGTCACTGTGTAGACATTGCTGAAAAGTTTCATGGCAGGTATTTTTCCCCTTATCTTATTTTTTAGATTTTCTGACATAGCCTTCTGTCATTTTGCAGTGAGACCTATTTTCTAAATGAAGAATCTAATAGATGTTTGTTTATCATTTTTTCTTTTATGTTTTATTTAATATTTTTGTTGAAAAATGTTGTTGCCAATAAGCAGTATGGAGGTATCCAGATAGCTGTTGTTTACAAATGCCTCTGTTACCCGAAGCTAGGAAATGTTCCAGAGTTCAGATGTGAAATTTGGATTTTTGGCTTCACAGTTTGTGGTGTAAAAAGTGTATTTATTTCACCTGGAGCTGATGCTTCTTATAGTGATATGTCCGTGGAATAGACAAGAGAAGAACTTGTCAGAGAAAAAAAAAGCTTTTTAAGACAGAGAGTTGGCAAATCTTGGAAGTAGCCTTGTGGAATCTGTAAGCAAGAAGGATCGGTAGCCGATTTCTGTGAGGTCAAATCTATGTCAAACAGCTACGAATGTAGTATCAACAAGAACTCTGGATATTATCTCAAGGAAAACAAACTGGAAAAATATAAATCACACAGTACTAACACCTTGTGCGGTCCTCTTGGATTAGGTAAGTGGTGTAGTGTTCATAAATCAACTTACAGTTGAATATACATTTTATCAGTAGAGTGGTTAAACCAGTAACATCTACTGCCTTGAGGTGGTTGTTTTTTTGAGAATGTTGAAATGAGCTTGCAGAAACTAATTTTTACTTGCTGTTTTTAATAATTAATGGAATAATTCTTTAAGAATTTGAAGAATAAATGTATAAAGAGAAATGTGCAGGTAGGAGTGTGATTTTCCTGGGAGTTTAAAAAATAGGTACATCTAGACTGAATCCTTTGGTAACTTAACCTTCACGTTGATGTTGTAATCTCAACAATGAGCTGTTATAATTATTGAACAGGTCTGCTGGATGGCTTGCACATCTCAATCTTTCCATTTGTTTTAGATGTTTTTGCAGCATGAAAGTACTTGCAATGTAGGGTGGTTTTTTTTGTCTGGTTTTTTTTTTTTTAATTTCCTTCCACTGTTCTTTGTCACTTATGGAAGCCAGATATTTTTTACCAAAAACTAGTCTACTGCCTGTGCAAACTGGCTTTTTAATGTGTTGTTATTTTAAGGTTGGGTTCAGAGTAATTTCCTATTCTGGAATGAGAATGAATGAGTCTGACTGGTTTGCAAGTATGACATTACAAAAAACCTTCACCTTTTTGGAAGGATTTAAAACAAAATTTAGTGGTGAACTAACTAATTTTGTGTGTTATTTTTAGATTTATTGCTGTCCTCTTCCTCCGATAATGGTTAAATGTTTCTGAAGAGAGATATAGTTTAAATGTTGAAACTAATATGTTTATACTATGTTTTTGTAGATTTGTATTCAGCTGAATTGCTACTGCCTCAAAGAAAATTAAGATGGACAGAACAACTTAATTCAAAAGTCAGTGGTAATTTTACTTATGTTCTCTCCCCCCTACCCCACCCTGATTATTCATAAAGCTTTAAATAATTAAAGCCTTATTGGGTAGACTGTAAACTGAGTGTCTGGTAAAGGTGACATATTTACTATAGCAGCCACCTTTTAAAAACATTTTCAGAGCTTCTGCAGTACTGAAGTATTAGTAGTAGTGTGCTAATGAAAAAAAAAAAGTTTTTCTCTAAGGGCAATGCAGAGATGTTTGGCAAGATGGCTTGTGTTAAAGCCTTGTAGAAAAAGTTAAGTTAAGCATGTGAAACTGTATCTAAAGATTACTACAGTGTTTTTTCCCCTGTAACTTGTTATTTTGACCACAAATGAAAGACTTGCATCTAAATAAGTTTTTTAAATTCTCAGGCTCACTGAAGTAGTTCTATTCTGTGTGTTGTCTTGTAAGTATCTGAAAGTTGATCTCACTTGAGTATTTTGCTTTATTTGGATGGCCTTGCTGTTTTGTTATTTTAACTTCTATTTCAGTTTTGTTGTTTTGAAAAAATGGAAGATGTGGAACATGAATAGGAGGCTGTTTCTGTAATGTCTTGTGGCTGTGGCTTGTGGGCTCTTCTACATAGAGTCTCGATGTGGCTGGGGATTCACTGTATGAACTGAGCCACATGTGAAGGAACCAAACCAACAGAGAAGAATGATCTTCCTCATTCCTTTATTTGTATTAATCTGTGTTTTGTTTGAAAGCATTTGGTAAATGGAAAGAGTTCAGGCCATTTCATTTGATTTTTGTCTGTTGTATGGTCATAAACAATAGTAATACAAGTACTTCCTTCTTAACTTGTAGGAAAAGTGATGTGTCTCTTTTTTCAAGCTATTAACTTGCAGTGCTGTGAGATACTTTTACCTCTTGACAAGATGGTCTCGCTGAAATCAAGGAGCTGCAATCCCCCACTTACTATTTTGGGTGACATCTTTATCTGGACTCTTTCCCTTCTGGATGTTTTGAAGAGTTTGCTTTTTAACTTCATTACATTAATTCTGTCTTTACATCTCTCTGTCTGCTGGTAGGATAATTCTTTTTCTTTTCACTGTGTTTGCACTTGGGAAGTGCAGTTGTTCTTACTTGCATGCAAATGTATTTGACAAGGATTCAGGTGTGTTTTCCAGCTGTACCCTTGTACCCTAAGGAAAATTCATACTTGGGTGAGGCCCACTGGGGAGAAAATGTCTAGCATGCTGGTCCACTTTAATGCTTTCTTTAGGTTTTCATTTGTATAGTGCTGACAGTCTGTTAAGTGGTTTGCAGACAACTATGAAGATAAGGTCCTTGCCCCCAAGAGCTTGTACTTAAGGCTTGATGTAACCATAGCTCTTGTACTGGAATAACTGTCAGCAGCTTGGCTCTTTTACTGATGCGTTTATTCGGGTAGAATCCTAAACTGGGTACATTTGTATTGAGAAATTGTCTTGAATGGTGTAGGCTGCTGTGCTGTGTGAAAAAACTGTTGGTGGAACCTTTTAAGAGTAAGCAGAGTTTAAACTAGCAACAAAGCTTAAGTGGAATTACATCTGTAAAGTGATATAGGTAAATTGTGTAGATATTTAGCTTTGTTAGTACTTCACAAGTTAATGTACTTTATGCTCCCCCCCCCCCCCCCCCTCCATTCTAATGAGATTCTTCTCTTTAAAATGTGTGGATAAAACAGTGTGACAGTCATAGTTCATTAATAATTTCTGGGGAAGTTGCTTATATTTATTTTTTTAGTACTAGGTGTAAATTCTGTCCTGCAAGGAGAACTGTTTGCTGACCTTATTAGAAACGAACTTGAATGAGACTTGGCATGGTTTTTGTTTTGGCTTTTGTTACTGTGTGTGTTTGAGCAGTAGTATTACACAGTAACTGATGATAATGCCCTATGTGGTGCTATCAACTCTTCCATAATCATCTCCTTTCATATTTTGGGTAAACATAGTCAGGGAAGCATCTGAAATACACAGAATTGTTTTTAGTGCTTTATATGTTCAGGATATGTCAAAACTGCTACCTGTTTCAACTGCTTTTCCTTCAGATCCTTGTGAAGACTCCAAAGTACAAGAGAATTCCTGGTGATTTTGTTACATAATGTATGCTGAATGGGGTGGTGATGTTATTGCGCTAACACTTCAGCTTTTGGACTTTGAACCTTGCAAAGGGCAGGAGGTTAGCATTTATCTAGCTTTCTGCTAAATGGTACTGCAAGTGTGTAGGGTTTCAAGCAGAAGGAACCTGGTTGTAGTTTACCTTCAAATATGAAGTTATTCTGTGTTACGTAATAGGTTTTGGTTTTTTGGTTTTAGTTTTTTTTTTTTTAATTTATGTTTTGGTACAGTGCAAGAAGGAAAAACTTTTTTGGATAAAAATGATGATTAAGTTATTCAAAGCTCTCTCATTAACTTTGACTGTTTCTAAAACTTTTCCTAAAAGATGTTTTTATTGTGTGACATTAATACTTGATTCACAGAAGTGATATAAACCCTGTTGCTTGTGAACCGTATCTATATATAGAAAGAGGACTATACGTTAAAGAGCAGTGGTTGGGATTTTTAGAACACCAGTGTACCCTCAAGTTTGCTGACATTATAGATCCTTATGCAAAACAAAGTGTGCTTTAGTTGATTCATCCTCACATAAGGAACTCAAGCTCTAAGTAGAAATGAAGGTGGGTTTTCGTTATTTTTGTTTGTTTGTTTGTTTTGTTAAGTCACTCTAAAACTAGGTTTTAGGGCTGTGGCTGTACTAGAGAATGTGTTGGCTTTAAATGGTTAAAAAATTGACCGTTACAGTTTGACTCCATACACTTCTCATACCTAGGCATGTCATAAGACTTTTGGAAGATTTGGCAGAGGACCTCACTCCTTCCTCAGTGTTCTGCAGGAAGCCTTAGTTGTCATACTTCTTCTTAAAAGATGAGGCAAGAAGGTAAATTAAAAAAAAGTATGGGTATTTTCTTCTATTCTTCCTTGTTGTCCAGTGCTAGAATACTCATCATAACAGTTCTGTATTGGATGGTGGGGACAGCGAGACAAAACCAGGAGATATTACCTGCTCTGCACTAGCACGGTTAAGAAAGAAGAGGCTTCAGCTGAATTGTTCAGAACATGTTAATGTCTGTTGAACCAGTGGGATAGAAGACCTTTAAAGGTTCAGCTCCCTTTCCTTTTATTGGAGGTGTGAGTCTTTGACAATAAATTTTAGAAAACCAAAGAACTTGAGAGAATTACCATACCCAAACTTAACATTGTTTGTAAATTACATGTCTGTAAAACCTCTTCTACACTGAAATGTAGCGGGGGGAACACATGCACACTTTCCCTTCAAAGTATTAAGAGGTTAGTTGTAGAGTTTTAAGCTTATTCTGTTATTGTGGCTGTGCATTTACATGGAGAGAAAAGAAAGGAAATAAATAGTCTTCAGTTCAAGTAGTTGTCATGCTTTTGCAGCAATTTATGATCAGTAGAAATGCTTCCATTTTCAAAAACACCATAAAGCTTGTGTTAGGGTTTGAATATTATTTTCTGTTTTACTAACATGCAAATTTTGGCTAGCAAAATAACTTGAAATTAGATTATTTTACTCTGTTCAAACTAAATGAATCACAGAGTAAGGAAGATCTCTAATAAGTTGTGTCTTTAAAAGGCGAATGAAAATTGAGATATATAGGGTTTAAACAAAAGTGTTTAAAGCTTGCACTTGTCAACTTCAAATTAGTGCTGTTCTTGACTAGAGATAACAAGAAAGGATCTGTTATCAGAAGAAATTTTTTTGTTTAAAAGACAATGTGTCTTGTGGTAGAATGAAAAACTTTTGATGGAGTGGATTATTTGAAAGGCCTGCTTAGTTTGAGAGAAACCCTGAATGTTTCTGCTTATGAAGAAGAGAGACTCTGTAGTCTGATGGCTGGGACTTGTGTGTCTAGTTTCCTTGCCTAATTCAGGCAAAACATTTTAGTTTTTCTATGGCTGATGCTAAATAGGTGAAATAAGCATTTGAAGCTGGCCCAAGATGGGAGACTTGAAGGGTCAATTTATTCTGTAGCTCATTTATTCTGGAGTTGCTCTGTTTTAGTTAGAACTTTGCTGGCTGATGATGCTTCTTCAGAAAAAAAAACAACAAAACCCTTGGCAAATAGCTTTCTCTTTTTGTTGTTATGAAATGCAGTACAGTTGGTGTTTGGTATATCTCTGATAGTAAACATTAATTTTTAATTCCCTCTTAGAAAATTGTGTGCTGCCTTTCACTTTGTATTAGATCGTCACTCTTTTTTAAGATGTCATACAGACTTGCTTATTGGACCCTTCTGAAATTCATATACATGCTTCGTTTGTCTTCCTGACTTAATAAGGATTTGATATACTTGCTGTAGCTCATTACCAAGGAAGCAAAGCAGCAGCAGTAGTAACAAACTTGAGACACTGAATAGTGTATAACTGTTTATTTTTTCTATTGTTATAACAACACTATAGTATACTTCAATTCTGATGGCTTACAACATTCTTTTAGCCCATTTATAAATATTATACTAAAAATTATGGTGACAAGGTGAGGGTGGGTTTTCATACAAGTGTGTAGCTGAGGGGTGGAGTTAAGGTTCCCACATGTAGTTTGTGGTGTGCTGTACTTATGGTAATAGTAATCTGTGAGGTATCAGCTAAAAGATCATAGGTATGTGCCACTTAGATATGCGTACATGCTCATCTTAGACTTTCCTGAAAACTATGAATATGCATATATGCTTTTAACATTTATTCTGTTCATGGGTTTCTCTATGAAAATCAATAGGTTGAATTTCTAAACTGGTCTTCAGGGAGCATCAAGAAATCTGAATGCATACGTGCCTTCTAACTTTGGGACTTCATGTCTTGAAGCTTCCTTATTTATTTATTTTTTTTCCTGTTAATAACTTTGCTACTTCACTCACAATCTTCAAGTATTCCTAGCTGTTTGAGTTTATATTGCGTTTATTTTAATCATCTTC